GGCGCCTTGGCAGCTGCCTCCATCAGGATGCTGGTGGGGTGCCAAGGGTCCTGGAAGCACTGAGTGAGGTGCAGCCCATGGCACAATGCAGCCCATGGCACAGTGCAGCCCTTGGCACAGCACAGCCCATGGCACCATGAAGTCCATGCACAATGCAGCCCTTGGCACAGTGCAGCCCATGGCACCATGAAGCCCATGGCACCGTGCAGCCCATGGCACTGTGCAGCCCATGGCACCATGAAGCCCATGGCACCATGCAGCCCTTGGCACAGTGCAGCCCATGGCACCGCCATGCAGCAGCTCACCACGCTGATGGTGCTCATGGATGAGCTGTTGGAAGCGCCCTGGCACGGCCGTGTGTCTGCTGTGGGATCTCTCATCCTGCAAACACTGCTCTGTTTTATTACTTCCACATCTCACACCACTGGGTTCCTCGTTCATTTGATGAGAGCTGGGCACAGTCCCGCACAGAGGTTGGGGGATGGACAGCATCTCCATGGTATTTTTGGCCAGAAACGAGCAGAAAACCCATGGCAGAATCACAGAACCTCAGAACCATGGAATCATCCATGCTGGAGAAGGCCTTAGGATCACCAGGTCCAGCAGTCAGCCCGAGCTCTGGGCTCCCATCACTACACCACGTCCCTCAGTGCCATGTTTGTGCAGGGGATACCACCGCCCCGCCAGGCAGCCCAACCCTGCATTGCCCTCTCCATGCAGAAATCCCCTCCGACACCCAACCTAACGCCCCTGGTGGGCACCCAGCTGCCCATCAGCACCCCAGGTCCTTTCCTTCCGGCCACCTCTCCATCCTCTGCTCCCACAGCCATGGGTTGCTGGGATCCAAGAGCAGGACGCAGTGCTCACCCTCACTGTATGCCGTGCAGTTGGACTTGGCCCATCAATGCAGCCACACGTGGCTGTGTCCAGCAGAGTGCTGTGTAATTCAGAACTGCTCGCACTTCATGCAGTGCTTCAGCCCAACCTCAGGAGCCATCTGTGTGACACAGGACTACACCCAATTAACTTCTGCTTAAGGAAATGATGTCTGACCCTATTTCAGAGCCCGCCTACTCCTTAACAAGTGGCTCCAGCAATTAATTACCTACTTCCCTGAGCACTTCCCTCTTGCTCTTCCCTGGAAGTTTGGGGAGAGATATTTCTTCATCGGTGATCTGGATGAACGCTCGCTGGGTGCTGGGAGGTGTCCATGCTGCAGCTCCTCTCAGAGCTGGGATGAACACCTGGGAGCTGCATCGCTCAGCAGCTGTGCTGGCATCCAGCTGTGCTGGCATCCAGCTGTGCTGTGCTGACCTCCAGATGTGCTGCACTCACACCCAGATGTGCTGCACTCACACCCAGCTGTGCTGTGCTGCAGCTGCCCTGCCAGCTCTTGCAGTGCTCACTCAGGTGAGTTTGCAGTGCCCCAACACATCCCTCCCCAGGGGGAATATCTGAGGAAGATGAGGAAGAAGAAATGGAGCACCGTTGCAGCTCATCAAGAGCAAAAGTCACGTGTTTCAGAGGAGACCAGGCAGGTGATTAATTACAATCAGAGAATCATTAGGGTTGGAAAAGACTGAGACCCCAAAGTGCAGCCCCAGTGCGTCCCCACTGAGCACATCCCTCTGCTTTAACACCTTTCCCCATTCTCCCAGCCTCAGCCATGCTGCAGCACAAAGCGTTCCCATTGCTTGTCGTCCTACAGCCTCTCGTTGCCGAATTTTGGACACCCCGTCTGAAAGCCCACAGCCCGACCTGCAGAGCCGCAGCTGTGTTTTGCAGCTGTTTGGTTTCAGGTCGTGTTTTTGGAAAAGGCAACGCAACCTGCACCGCTCTGCCCTCAGCACCGCCCCTACCGGAGGGCCGTCTGCTCTCCTGGCTGCTGTGTCAGTATTTGGCCAGGTTGGTGTGTGTGTGTGCGTGTGTGCGTGTGCAAGGAGCGGAGCTTCGTTTGCACCTTGCACCTGCAGCAGCACAGCATAAAAACGCACCCAAGGGTGAAACCGATTGGGCAAAAGTGCAGCAAAATGCCAAAACGGGCAGAATTTGGGGGTGTTCTCTCGAGGTGCTGCCCCTGAGGTGCACCCAGAGCTCCCCCTGGGATGGGGTTCATTAATCACGGTGCTTTGTGCCTGCGTGCCCCAAACCCACCGCCTCTTCCCCAAAATGCTGCTGAGGTCGCTCTGAGTTCCCTAATTAACACTAATTAGCCCTAATTGCCCCTGGGTGACCTCGCTACCTAGGGGCAGTTTTTTGCTCTACCGCTTTTGACACCCGTCACAATTTTGGACTTTTAGGGTCGTTCCGATTAAGCGGAGCGCAGTGGGCGGGGTCCTCCCGCCTGCCGCCGTGCCGCGCTCTGCCGGCAGGGGGCGCCATACCCGCTTTCCGCCGGTAGGGGCCGCTCTCGCCTCGCAGCCACCACTCCTCTATGGCCGGCAGGGGCCGCTCTCGCCTCACATCTACCACTCACTGGTGTGTGGGGGGGGCCCACCTGAGGTGAGGCGGGGCCGCGCCCCCTCCTCCGCCCCCCCCCCGCCCTTCGGGGTGCGGCGGCGGCTCGGAGCCCGGCGTCCGCTCACACACACAGCACACACAGCACACACACACACACCCGTACACAGCCGGAACCATGGCGGAGCAGGAGAGCTTGGAGTTCGGCAAGGCCGACTTCGTGCTGCTGGACGCCGTCACCATGCCCGAGTTCATGGGGAACCTCCGGCTGCGGTGAGCGGGGGGCGGGGGGGACTGAGGGACGGCAGGGGGTGTGAGGGGCTGTAATAGCTCTGAGTGGGGTGTGAGGGCTCCCAGTGGGGTCTGACTGCACTCTGAGTGGGGTCTGTGGGATGGTGAGGGATGTGAGTGGGTCTGAGTGGGGTCTGAGGGACTCTGAGGGGCTTTGAGTGGGGTCTGAGGGGATCTGAGGGCTCCCAGTGGGGTCTGAGGGGATCTGACTGCATTCTGAGTGGAGTTTGTGGGGCTCTGCTGGGATGCTGAGGGGCTCTGAGTGGGGTCTGTGGGACTGTAAGGGGTGTGAGTGGGATCTGAGGGGCTCTGAATGAAGTCTGTGGGACTTTGAGAGGCTTTGAGTGGGGTCTGAGGGGCTGTAATGGCTCTGAGTGGGGTCTGTGGGACCGTAAGGGGTGTTGAGTGGAGTTGGGGGGGCTTTGAGTGGGGTCAGTGGGACTGTAGTGGCTTTGAGTGGGGTCTATGGGACTCTGAGGGGCTTTGAGTGGGGTCTGAGTGGGATCTGAGGGCTCCCAGTGGGATCTGAGGGGATCTGACTGCATTCTGAGTGGAGTCTGTGGAGCTCTGAGTGGGCTCTGTGGGACTGTAAGGGGTGTGAGTGGGATCTGAGGGGGTCTGAATGAAGTCTGTGGGACTCTGAGGGGCTTTGAGTGGGCTCTGAGGGGCTGTAATGGCTCTGAGTGGGGTCTGTGGGACTGTAAGGGGTTTGAGTGGGATCTGAGGGGCTCTGATTGGAGTGTGTGGGACTGTAAGGCGTTGAGTGGAGTCTGGGGGTTCTGAGTGGGGTCAGTGGGACTGTAGTGGCTTTGAGTGGAATCTGTGGGACTCTGAGGGGATCTGAGTGGGGTCTGTGGGACTCTGAGGTGCAGGGATGGGGTCTATGGGACTCTGCTGGGATGCTGAGGGGCTTTGAGTGGAGTCTGTGGGACTGTAAGGGGTGTGAGTGGGATCTGAGGGGCTCTAATTGGAGTGTGTGGGACTGTAAGGGACTTGAGTGGAGTCTGTGGGACTCTGAGGGGCTTTGAGTGGGGTCAGAGTGGAGTGTGTGGGACTGTAGGGGCACTGAGTGGGGTCGATGGGACTGTAATGGCTGAGTGGGGTCTCAGGTTCTGAGTAGAGTGTGTGGGACTGTAGGGGCTCTGAGTGGAGTTTGGGGGTTCTGAGTGGGGTCAATGGGGCTGTAGTGGCTCTGAGGGGCTTTGAGTGGGGTCTGAGGAGCCGTAATGGCTCTGAGTGGGGTCTGTGGGACTCTGTTGGGATGCTGAGGGGCTTTGAGTGGAATCTGTGGGACAGCAAGGGGTGTAAGTGGGATTTGAGGGCTCTGAGTGGAGTCTGGGTGCTCTGAGTGGGGTTGATGGGACTGTAATGGCTCTGAGTGGACTCTGAGTAGAGCCAGTGGGACTCTTAGGGCTCTGAGTGGAATTTGAAAAGAGTCTCTGGGATTCTAAGGACTTGGAGGGGCTCCGAATGGGATCTGAGGGACACTGAGTGGAGTTTGGGGGCTCTGAATGGGCTTTGAGTGGGGTCTGAGGGACTCTGAGGTGCAACAGTTGGGTCTGTGGGACTCTTGGGATGCTGAGGGGCTTTGAGTGGCGTATGAGGAACTGTAAGGGGTGTGAGTGGGATTGAAGGCTCTGAATGGAGTCAGTATTCTGAATGGGCTCTGAGTGGGGTCGATGGGACTGTAATGGTTCTGAGTGAGGTCTGTGGGTACTGAGGGGGCTCTGGGGGACTTTTTACGTGTTCTGATAGTGATGGGACTGGGGGAACGGCTGTAGGTTAAAAGAGGGGAAATTCAGGTTAGGTTTTAGGAGGAAATTCTTTACTCGGAAGGTGGTGAGGCTCTGGTACAGAGAAGTTGTGGTGCCCCATCCCTGGAGGTGCCTACAGCCATGGGTGAGACCCAGGGCAGCGTGAGTGGGGGCAGCCAGCCCATGGTGTGGGGTGGGAATGGGGGTTGTGAGGTCCCTTCCAACCCAACCATGCTGTGATTTCTTGGTTCTGTGGTCCTTAAGATCCCTTCCAGCCCAACTCTACTCAACCCAACCCAAAGATTCCATGGTTCTATGACCTCTGAGGTCCCTCCCAACCCAACCATGCTGTGATTCCCTAATTCTATGATCCTTAAGGTCCATTCCTACCCAACCCAACAATTCCACTGTTCTGTGATCCTTAAGGTCCTGCCATCCCTACCATACCATGATTCCCTAGTTCTGTGATCTTTGAGATCCCTTCCAACCCAACCATGCCATGATCCCATGGTTCTGTGATACTTAAGGTCTCTTCCAACCAGAGCTGTTCCACGATATGCCTTCCAAACTCTGAACTAGAATCTGAAACGTCTCTCCTTGCTGTATTTATATTTCCAAACCTTTTAGTTTTTTGCTGTTGTTTACTGATGATTTTTGGCTTTAAAAATGAGATGTTTAAGCAGAAATTGCCCTTTTCTGTGGAGATGATAACCGTGATGCAGGTTGCTGTTCTTAGCAGGAAACTTGCAGGTAACAGACTGTTCTTGGGGTTTATATTCTTTGGTTAATGTGTAATAGGAATCTCGATGAAACAGAAGGATCATCATCAGATAAATAAAGGATCAGCAGGCTTTCATTTGGGACTCGAAGGAACGCGCCCAGCAGTGCCGTCTGCTGTACTTTTGTCCAAAAGAGCATAAGAACAAACTTCCTATTTGGGATCCTTACATGTGTTGTGCAGAATTTCAGTCCTGTTGGTGCTGCTCTGTGAGGATCCTGGCTCGGTGTCCCTGGGGTGCAGAAGCAAAGCCTGCCCTTGGCCCACTGACCCGTGCTCTGCTTTATGAGCGTTCCCAGCACCGCTGAGTTCTTATGGCCTTACAGCTTTGGAGGTGGTGATTAACATCAGTTTTAAATCATGTTCCAGCCAAATTACAGCCCACACTGTGACCAGGGTGGGGGTGTTGTCAGTTCTGTCACCACAGGACAGGGAATTGTTGCCTCCCTGTGCTGGAGCTGGTTGGCTCTGTGCAGTGCCCAGGAATGCCGTGCTGTGCCGGAGCTATTTTGGCACGGGGTCACCGGCTGACCCAGATGGGCTGTGCTGGATGTTGTTCCCAAGTGAGCCCAGATGTGGGAGGAACAGCAGTCACAGCAGACACGGTGCAGCAGGGATGTTTCCCAAGGGATGCCTGCAAGAGGGATGGGCTGCGTGGGGTTGTGGGCACAGCGAGGATTTGCTGCCCCGTCCCCACCTGCTGTGCCTGGTGCTCTGTGATGCACACGTCCACCTGGAGGTTGTGAGACATTCCTGCTTTTAGTGCTTGTTCACAGCCCTGCAGCTCCCTGAATTTGGGACTCTCGTGCAGCCCTTGGGTGTTACACAATTAATTGTAAATAAAAGTCATCCGGCCCTTGAATTCCTTTGTTCTGAGTGCGTGGCTGTGATTATTAGTCATCAAAATAATGCAAAGAACTTAGATAGGCAGCCATATCTGAGCAGTTTGCATTTGAGTGGCTGGTGGCTGGGCTTTGTTCTTGGTGGGCAGGTGGGGGTGGGCTGGCTGTGCTGGGTTTGGTGGCTCAGCTCCTCTTGGGATCCATGGTTGATGGAAGACCCCTAAAGAAAGGAATCCCTTCCCATATTACCCACTGGGTGCCCCCAACAGGACATCCCATCATCACAACATAGAATGGCCAGGGTTGGAAGGGAGCTCAAGGATCATGAATTTCCAACCTGCTGCCACATGCAGGGCCACCAACCTCCTCATTTAATGCCAGCCCAGGCTGCCCAGAGCCCCATCCAACCTGGCCTTGAACACCTCCAGGGATGGACGGGGCATCCACAGCCTCTCTGGGCAGCTGTTCCAGCACCTCGCCACTCTCTCTGTAAAGAATTTCCCCCTGACATCCAATCTAAATCTCCCCTCCCTCAACTTCACACCATTTCCCCTTGTCCTGCAGTTATCTACCCTTTCAAAGATTCCCCTCCCCTCTGCAGGCTCCCTCACAACATCATGTGAGGTCTATGGAAGAGTGGTGGGATTTTACTTTCTGCTCTTCTGTGGTCTTGATCTTACTTTAAAGTGAACAGGCACTTTCTGTGTGATGCTGTGGGTTTCTTATCTTTTGTCAGAGCTGTGCTGGGGCGGGTTGGCTTTGCACCGGGCAGTGCAGGAAGTGTCTTTTAGTGGGAATATTGCGTGAATGCCTGGTTTCACTGTGCTCTTGGTAATAAATACTTGTGCTTAATGAACAACTCTTCGTGCCTTTAAGCCGTTTTAATTTCCTCCTCGATGAGATCTGAATATTTGAACTGCTGGCGTGGTGTGGGATGGAGGACTCAGCTCTCAGGGAGTTGTGTCAGAATGTGGAATGATTGGAATGAAGATTCCCCCATCGTCCATCAGAACTCACCGTGCAGGCTTGGCCAGGTTCCAGCTCGTCTTCGTCAGCGGCCGTGCAGCTCAGCGAGCACCAATGGGCAGAGCCTGTGATACAGCAAGCAGAGCGCTGCCCTGCGGTGCCTGGAGGTGGCACGTGTGGTCTGTCAGCACTGACGGCCTTCTGAGGGTCAGCTGGAGATCTGCCCAGTTCTTCTGCCCACCCTGAGCTGCTCTCCCAGTGGTGCCCTTCGGGAGCCCTTAGCTCCTTGATCCATAAATGCACTGACCCCGTGCACCCCCTGGGCTGAGCACGCCTTCAAGCCACCTGAGCATTTCCCCTCCTGTCCTAAGGACTGAAATCCCTTCCTGCTGCAGATCCTGCTGCCTGGCTGTTGCATCACCGCTCGTCCCTCAGTGCCTGGGCTGCGATTGCATCTCGGAGGGGTTTCGAAAGGGAGCACGAGGGGCTGGAGCTGACCTTTCTGACTGGATGGCCTTCCAGCTCCTGTGCTTCCATGCCCATATAAATGTCAGCAGACACCGCCTGCTCCCCTCACTGACGGCTGCACAATTGTGGTCCCGCTAGGAGGGTCGGCACGCCGTGACAGCTGATGGTTGTGCT